CCATCATCTTCAACCAAAACATCGATGAAGTCAAGGGTACCAGTAGATCCTCAACTCCTTCCAGAACATTAGTTTTTCATCAAGGTTTCGGCCTATATCTCTCCTAAATGCGTCTCAGACAGGAAAAACGCATCTGCTTCATGTCGCCTCTGGATGTCCAGAAGCGAGCGAACTGTCAAGGCATCAATAAGGCCTCGACAATTCCAACTAATAATTTTCATTATGTTCGGCGAACCCCTTCCAAAGGGGTCGCTGATGTCATGTTAACGTCCATGCTACAATCACCATCACCCACAATTTCCTCAGTTGCTGTCCTCTGCCCTTTTCTGGTTCTGAACTTTTTGGGGTGTGCTCAGTAATAGCTTTTGTCAATAGCAGCTGGTGGTTGCCCTTCCAACTGAAGCACTTGATCAGCTACAATGCCCATCGAGGAAGACTGGGGTGGAGCATCCTTTACAAAAGTGCCATCTGCACTCACCAGCATTTTCCTGGCTGTAGGTATAATTTGTTGAGACCCAAGGCTGGTATCGCCACCCATGATCACATCTTTATTTTCTTCTTCATTCGGTTCACCAGGATTCTGATCACGCCCTCTACCAAATCTGGCACCACAGCCTCTGCCTGCTTGGACACCCGCATCACAGTTAACAAGCAACCAGTCCCCCCATTCACACTCCTCCGGCCGGTGAAGACCATCAATACGAGGAAGCCTGAATCGCCTCGACTTCAGAAACATTTTCAATGGAATTATGGAGGTGAGTCCATCTCTATACGAAACTCATCTCTATATGTAGTCCTGGGTCGATTCGCTCGGCTGTTGCATGCACTGCCATAAATTTTGCACACTGCTAGGCCGTTTATATGTTCCCTCAAAGTTCTTGATGAAAACATCCTCGAGGTCTTTCCAGTCGTGGATGCTTCTCAGGCAAGTTATTGAGCCAAGACCGAGTGGAACCTTTCAAGCATCAACAGGAGGTTACGCAACGCCACTTGCTCGTTGCAGCCGCCAACGATGATAGCGACCAGATAATCTGCCGGCCAGGTACCCGCTTGGAGGTACCATCATATTTCTCGACACCGGACGCGATCAACTCATACCGTAAAGCTAAGGTCGCCAGAAACATGGTACGATTTCATAAATCCAGAAAAGTACAGAAACATTCAGGGACCCTCTCCTGTACGGAAATTATTGCCAACCTTCATTTCGGGCTCATTTAAAATGACTCAGATGACGTCAATATTTTCTTGTGTTACTTGAGGTAGTTACGCAAAATTCAGATACCTCTAGCAAGAGATTTGGTGTGGAGACTTTGTCTGGAGCGTCACACTTCATGCAAACACCAAAAGATAAGCATGCCACTTTGAGTAGGGGGTAAGGATAATATAGAAGAGGTAACTCACAAATATTAAAAATTTAAAATAGAAATTCCAGAAAAGGATATAAATTTCACAAAATCAGGAAAAACTATCAAAGATTGCAGAAGCATCTAGGGATCTCTCCTAAAGTCCTAAAATAAGGGCAAGTACAATTAATAAATGCTGAGAAAGATTGTAAATGTTTTGAGAGTTTATATTTCTTTTTCAACAATGCATATCGCAATACTCATAAACGTTGTTAAATTTTTTGCAGGCTCAAAGAAAGCAAGAAAAAAAATATGTAAGAAATATCTCTCAGCCCTATGATAAATGTTTCACATCCCCGTATTTGTGTTCATCTTTTACAAGATCGGCTTTAGTCATGTGGATTTACTATCCTAGTAAGTAGTAACCATGTTCAGTTTATCCTAAAGATGGCACAACCATATAAGTTCTTAAATTAAATTTGGGATTCATGATGGAAACGACAATAAGTCCATCTTCAGCAACTTGAAAGGCATTTTTTTCTATTGTCTGACACTGGAAATTACGTGCTTGCATATTTCTACTCATTCATGCCTCACTTTTTTTAGTTAGATGGTAGTACGCGAAGTCCAAATAGACCTATTTGCTATACTAGATTATTTATAATAAAAGTTCAAAAAAAGATTATTTATAATAAACCCCTTTTAATGCCTTCCCCCCTCCAAATTGTGTGTGCAGATATAATAGCAAGTACTTTGAGCATACTTGCGATATGTCTACCTTCCGCATGTTTGCTGGGCTACAAGGTATACAGGTCAAGAAAGAGATCGAAGGAAACACCAAGGATTGAGTCGTTCCTACAAAAGAATGCAGGAGTATATCCAAAAAGATACACTTACGCACAAGTGAAGAAGATGACAGGGACCTTTGCTGAAAAGCTAGGTCAAGGTGGATTTGGTGTTGTTTACAGAGGTGGCCTCTCCAGTGGCCGTCAGATAGCAGTCAAGATGCTTAAGAACTCCAAGTCTGATGTTGAGGAATTCATCAATGAGGTAGCCAGCATCAGCACAACTTCTCATGTCAACGTTGTTACCCTCTTAGGATTTTGCTTTGAAGGATCCAAGAGGGCACTAATCTATGACTATATGCCTAATGGTTCGCTTGAAAGATATGCTTTCAAACACAGTTCTAAGGGTGAACATATTCTAAGTTGGGAGAAATTATTTGATATAGCAGTTGGTATTGCTCGTGGACTTGAATATCTCCACCGAGGATGCAATACTCGCATAGTGCATTTTGATATCAAACCCCACAACATTCTATTGGATCAAGATTTTTGTCCTAAGATCTCTGATTTTGGGATGGCCAAATTGTGCCAGAATAAAGAAAGTGTTGTCTCCATTGGTGGTGCAAGAGGAACAATTGGCTATATTGCCCCCGAGGTCTACTCAAAGCAATTTGGAGCAGTAAGTAGCAAGTCTGATGTCTACAGTTATGGAATGATGGTCCTTGAGATGGTTGGGGCAAGGGATAAGAGAATCAATGCAAATAGTGAATGTAGCAGCCAATATTTCCCGCAGTGGATTTATGAAAATTTAGATGAATACTGTTTTGGTGCTTCTGAGATTAATGGCGAGATCAAAGAGATTGCAAGGAAGATGATAGTTGTTGGGTTGTGGTGTATACAGCTAAGTGCTAGTAATCGACCAACTATGACTAGAGTCGTCGAGATGCTAGAAGGAAGCACAGGTAGCCTGGAATTACCACCACAAGTGCTCTTAAGTTGACAGTCATCGGTATGTTTCTATGCTTTTCACTTTCCAGTATTGCACTACTGCAAGCAGGATGCAAATTTCATGACTTACATTACATGTCATTGTTTGTCTGTAAGTAGTGGCAGATCTATGAAATTATTGGCCGTATACCACTGTATGACTGTAATGCTGAGTACGGACACTCTTTTGTGCAGTTGTATTTGGAATTTGATAAGTGCATTACATATTCAGTAGTTGGCTCAGCTTATAAATAATTCTCAGTTCCTACAAGATACCATGCAAATTAGAAATGGCAACTGAATTTTTCATCTGCTAGCACAAAAATCCATATCACAAGGTCACGCAAACCACAAATACATTGCCCATCTGTTAATACTTTGACTGCAAAATAGACTATGGATATGTGGGGTCAGAGCTTACCTATTTCAGAGTGGACAAACCGGAGTAGTTCAGATTTCAGATGTGAGCAGCCTATCGTAGACCACTAGGGCATATCCATGACCGTGTTGCCGTAGACCACAGACACACGGGAACTCAGCAACAACGATTGCAATGACCATGGTAGGCATAGGACTAGCTGACTAGGGAGGTGGCCCTGCGAGCCCGGCGAGGTGTGGGAGGCACTGATATGTGGTGACCAAGATAAAAATTATCAGCTAACCATTTACAGTATATGTGGGGAATGTAAAATGCAGGTGCATGGAAAGGTGCGGAGCACAACAAAACTGTTTTAACTTGCAGTGTAGGATCATTGAGGTACAAGTAGCACAATACTTTAGTAGGCACCAGTGCTTAGCAGGTGCTTACACATATTATAGGAAACAAGCTTGCGTTACTCAGTGGCAAACATCATATATATGCACGTCCTAGGAAACAAGCTTGAGACTTGTACTCACTGGCCAATATCATAAATGTATAATATTCTATAGAGAGGGGAATTACTTCCAATGCCTTTCATATCAGAGATCTTACTGGAATTTCATTCAAGGCTTTTGAATTTAAGGCTAAAAAGAACAAAACTGTTCCGAATAAGAAGAACTGTAAAAACAAGACATGGGAAAAATTGCAGGAATGGGAGGG